CCAAGCACAAATATTTCTAAGTCTACAACTATACCTCATGGTGTTTCACTAATAAAAATTTTTTAAAAAATGTATTTTGTATTGCTTGCTATAAATAACTAAGAATGATCCAAAAAGGTTTCCATAAAGGAAAGTGTATGAAAATTGTTGTATCTCATCTCGGAGCCATTGGTCGCCGGGATTAGATACAGAGAGCTAATTTAAGGACACTGGGCAAGGACCTGGAGAAAGCAGCGGGTTCTTGTTCATCAGGGAACTTTGGGTAGCAGACAGAGAGGACCACCTAGTGAAACTGGAAAATGAGGAGCGCTGACCTTGTGGAAGAGGCAGATCATAAAAATTTTTGTCAGTGCTAGGCCCGCCTGAACGGGTATTTGATCATTGTATAATTGAAACCCAAGCACAAAATTTGTAAGTCTACTTGGTGTCTCACTAATTAAAAAATTAAAAAAAAAACAATTTCCTTCCTCCCCACCGCAATCCCGACCCCACAGGATACTGGACTATTATGAAGGTGAGTTTGTGGGGCCAGGATGATGTCAGAGCTGAGATCAGGGCAGAAACTGGGGAATCGAGTTGATTCAAGTAGTGGCTCCAACATGGGAGCTCGTGGTGCCCGAGAGGCTGTTCTTAGCTTCCCTGTAGCTATTTGGTGGAGCAACGGCCTGGGAGGCAAGCAGGTCCTACCCATCTGTAATGTTAGTGTCAGGGGCTAGAGCAACAGTACAGTGGGCAGAGCGTTTGCCTTGTATGTGGCCGACCCGGGTTAGATTCCCAGCACCCCATAGGGTCCCCCAAGCACCATCAGGAGTAATTCCTGAGTGCAGAGCCAGGAATAACCCCTGTGACTCAAAAGGGGGAAAAAGTGTTAGTGTCAGATGGAATTGTGTTCTTTTGGGGCCACACCCGGTGATGCTCAAACTGACTCGTGGCTTTATGCTCAGGCATCACTGAACCCCTGGAAGGGGCTGGGGGACCATTTATGCATATGGGAATGGAACTCAGGTCAGCAGAGTCAGGACAGCACCAAATCACATCTGTGATATTTTGCCTGGTCCTTGAAAAAAGAATAATATATTCAGGGGTCAGAGTGATAGGACAACAGGTACAGTATTTGCTTTGCATGCAGATGACCAGGTTCAATCCCTAGCATCCCGTATGGTCCACTGAGGACCACCAGGAGTAATTCCTGAGTGCAGAGGTAGGAGAAACCCCTGGGCATTACCAGGTTCCCCCCCACACACAAACCCCCCAAAAAATAAAGGATAATATAACCAATGTTCTTCTTTTCTAAGAAAAAAATTGGTTCCATTAATCAAGTGTGACCTTTCTACAACGCTAATAATTTTTTTATGAAAAGGAAGATATTTTTATTTATCCCCTTCAGTCTTAAAATTGTTTTAAAAGTGGAAAATCTTTGATCATGGTCTTAATTGTATTGTTTTTTTTATCTGTTCTGGAAATCTACAAGTCTAGAAGCTACCACATCATCATTTCTCATTTTATGACTGTTGTAGTTAAAACTCGAAGTAGGAACATGATGGATTCAAGGCGCACCCCAGTTTTATCAGGACTGATGGGTGTTACGTGCAGGACATGCTTCCATCTGTCCCTTTTCTGAAAATTGCCCTGGATTGTCCTTAAACAGGTTTTATTCCATATCGGCATCCCAAAGACCTCTCCCTGAAACAAAAGACATAGATTCTATCCAGGACTTTTGAAAGATGATCTGAACTCTAGTCCATTCTTCCAAGCAGCCTGAAATCACTGGCATTCTGACACGCTTCCTCTGCCCACCCCTATTTTCTATGCCTCCGTACCAGATCATTAAGCTGCACCCGAGCTTTCTCTCTCCACAAAACACAACTGGCTGTGGATAAGTTACTGGAGGCTGATATTGTTTCAGGCCAATAATTACAGCGTCCATTGCCTCTCCTATTCCCTGTGAAACTGTTCGCACGGTTTCCACTTCACAATGAACATGTTGCGGACAACAGGTTTTATCTTCCTTCTAGTACCCTGAGTGCTCCGCTTGCAGTAGGCACTCAAATTCGATCAGGAAAATGTGATCACTTTCTTCGTACAAGGGCCACTTTAATAAGCCCCCAAATATAGAAACATCATCGGGGCCCCCTTGGTTTTACGAATGACAGTCAGGAGCTAGGGGCCTGGAATTGCATGGGAACGAGGAGGCAGCCCTTGGAAACCCTTTAGTCCTGAGGCTCTGGTTCCATTTGGTTTCTGAAGGGAAAGGGAAGAAAGTGACACAGAATGAAAGCAAAGGACAAAGTGGAGAATCCCCAAGTGAGGAGAGAGACAAGTTCTGGAAAACTCCACAGTAGGTCGGCTTCCCTCCCCCCGCCCCACCCCCGCCTCATTCCAGGTGACAGCCTGTGAAGCAGGGAAAGAGTGGTCGGCCCTCACAGTGCAGCTTCCACCTCACCCTGAGGAGACAAGACACTGGTTCTGGCTTCATCCACCCTGACCCAGTGCTCTCTGAGCCCCCGGGGCCACTCCCTGGGTCTCCTTTGTGGCTCTCTGCTCTGGCCTCCTGTGGCCCTTCCCATGCTCCCTTTCAACTGCCCTCATCTGTGGCCTTTGCTCTTGCCCCATTAGGCTGCTTCCACATTTGCAAACAGTTTTCTCCCATGACAGGAATGGGCCAAGAGTTATTCAATAAAAATGTTGCCCCCCCCCCCCTTGCCCTACAGACTCTAGGGTTTTTGGGTTCCATCTGGCTGGTTCTGCACTTAGGAATTACTCCTGCTGGGCTCAGGGGACCACAAAGGATGCCAGGAAGGGGGAGGGGCGGAAGAAGATCAAAACCCGAGTCAGCTGCATGCCAAGCAAGCTCCTGACCCACTGTGGCTCCTCCTCCTCCCGGCCTTCTGTATCTTTTTGAGGAACTCTGCACCCTTTCACATCCCCGGCAACTGTGCACAGGGGCCGTTTCTCCAGACCTGCTTGGACTCCTGTGGCTCCAGCTGACCCTCTGCCCCCAGGCCCACCACCGACCAGTGGGAAACACTACATCACTAGGCCACCGTGATGGTGATGGGTGCGTCTGTACTGAGCTTGTACAGAAATTTTCTTTTCTTCCCCTGCGACATCTGGATATGCTCAGAAGTTACTCAAAGATATGGGGTGCTGAGGATCAAACCTGGTTGGGTGCTGCAAGGCAACACCGACCCGCTATGCTACAGCTCTGGCCAAACTTTGTATGCCTTGGGCCGTGTTTTTACTTTCCTGATGGCACCGCAGGAACTGACAACGTTTTGAGGATGACCACCTGAACTAGCCTGGTTTTGGTCTCTATGCTACTGTCCTCAGCAACTGCGAAACTGACTCTGTTCTTTACGAACTTTCAAAGCTGAATTTATCGTGGATCTGGGCCAGTCAGTGGAGTTCAGGGCTTACTCCTGGCTCTGAGCTCAGGGATCACTCTTGGCAGGACGCGAGGCATCATATGTTGTGTTGGGGATTGAACCCGGGTCAGTTGGACACAAGGCAAGTGCAAGCGGCGTTACTACTCATTATACTATTGCTGCAGTCCTGTCACCTCAGTTTTTTCATGCCACTTCACACTCTGAGCTCACTCGTGCATGTGTCTTAAGGGGTCCAGCTCTGATCTTTGGCGTGGGGGCCTCTGGTGAGAACAGCATTGTTTGTTCAAGAGATACTGAGCATTTGGGCCCTACATGTACAATGTGAGCTGTGGATGGCCAGGCCCAGCCCCTTCCCTGCCATGACTGTCTCTCCTGTCACCAGTGACTCACTCGCTGGCTGGGTTTGATCCCCAGCACCACACAAATCCAGAGAGGGATGGGGCAGGTGCCTCAGTTGGCGAGAAAGGGAAGTGAAGACACACATCATCAGAGGAGCCTCCGGAGAGCTCCTCCCATTACACACAGCTGCAGAAGGAGAAAACCAGTCCTGGCACCTCAGGACTTCCTGGCATCTCTGAGGAGTCCAGTCTCAAGGAGGGGGATCCTGGAGGCACCTTAAGGAGGCTCAAAGGAATGAGACTCAAAGAAGCGGCACAGAGATGATGGGTTCTCCTTGGGGTCCGTATCCACAGCTGTGAAATAACCAAATCTCTGCTGTCCGGTCAAGAGAATGTGGAGGGAATGTGCACCTACCACGCATGGGACAAGTGTGTGTGCTGCTCTGATGTCACAGTTCCTTGGGTCCAGGAGTGTCTCAAATGTTCAAAATTCAGTGATCGGGCACCCGCAGAAAGAAGAAACAAATTCGATGGCTCCTGTGCCCACCCTGGCAGTAACCTCCCCAGGACCCACTTACCCACTCCCTTAACTACAAGACTCATCGCCAAGTGCTCCCGAGTGGATGGTTGTTGGGGCTGACCAGCAAACAGTCCTAGCGGGGGAGCACAGGGTGACAGGCCTTAACATGTGCCAGGACAACTCACACAGCGTTCTGCGACCACATGGTGGCACTCTCCACTTTCCCGGGCCAGCACCAGGAAGGAAGGCCTGGTTCCCGCCCCTGCAGTGGAGGGAGTGACTGAGGAACCAGCACTCACCTTCAGGGACTTGGCTGATGCCTACCAGGCAGGTGGCCAGCCCAGGGAATCCAACGCCAATGCCAGACACACAAACCCCAGCACTGCCCAGGGGAAGAGAAGGTGAGGAGAAACCCTGGCCACGCAGCAGGGGCGGCCCCTCATGCTAGCTCACCACTGAAGCCTCCCGGGGGGGGCAGTCCAGACACCCCCCTTAAGTGCCATGTCCCCCAAGCTACTGACCACCGAGCGCCCAAAGTGCCGGGCTACGCACCCGCGTCTACATTTGGCTGCTGGGGGTGGTGAGGGCGCTTGGCAGGGGACCACACGGGGAGCCTCCCATCCTCCCATCCCATCCATTCCTCGCGGACCTCATCCCCACCTCTGGGAGGGATTCTAGTCATGCATTTCCTGCCAACAGCCTTAATTGGTTACATGATCGATGAACTCTCGTGTTAATTTGAAAGCCCATCACTGCTCTTATGCATGTATGTATTTAACATACGAAAAAGAAGAATTTTACAGCAACTGCCAAGAGGCTCTTCAGACAATAAAATGTCCAGGTGGTATGAAGCAGGAGGTGTTCACTGTAGGGCCTCTAACACCACAGCTGCCTGTGAAGACTCCTTTTGTTACTCATCCGTTTGATCTGAAATCTCCGGGGATGACAGGATCTCCTGGGATCTGAAGATCTGCTGCACATGAGGGGTCTGCAGAGTCTTGACGGACTGTCGTGCTGCGACGGGCTGTGAAGACCCGATGGAGTGTGGTGACTCTGCGTTCTGTGGTTCTAGGGAGCCATGTGGAGGCTCGCTGGTCTGTCGTGCCAGGGGGACAATTGGTGGTGGGGAGCGCTGTGGTGCCTGTGTCCCCTGTGCTCCCTGGGTCTTGGGAGTCTTGGCTGTCTTGGTCTCCTTGGCTGCTTTCTCCTCCGGAGTCCGTGCTGCTGTCTTCAAGACTTTCCTGAGCTCCCTGGAACAAGAAGAATACAGTCAGCTCTTGAAAGGGACGTGCCCCGTCTGCATCACTTCCTGACTTCAGGAAGGTATTGGAGCTTTTCCCATGGTTTACCCTGCGTCTTTACTGAAAATCTCATCCTCATCAGAGGAATCCTTGTCATGGAGCTTTTGTGCCATGTTTTTCTTACGTGTGGCCTTGAGTGGCTGACACATGTCTCTCAGTCACTGGGGCCGTCTTCGCCAGAAAAAGCCCTTCTGGAAAAGGCAAGGGGAGCTCGTAAGCCTGCACCACGGCCCACTCTTGTCCTGCCTAAGTGCCGCCTCCCCCCAGTGGTTACCTGACTCTCATGTTCCACTGAACTTCTATGCAGCAATAATCCAAAGAAGGTCCTTGGAGGAAAACACGGACGCACATGATTCGTAACCCACCCCATTTCCCATCCTTCCTAGGATGGAGGTCTCTGGTCTTGTTTGGAAACTACCTTGGTGTGGAGCCATGACGAGTCAAACCACTAGGACCTGACCCCTTGACAAAGTTTCCATGCATGCCTGTGGCGATTTTTAGAAATTTGTCGGGTCCATTCAAAGGGACCCCGTAGACTCTTGAAAGACCTTTATAGGTAGCCTGGCTTGGAAAACAGGCAGGATATTTAGTTCTGGTTACCACCGTTGCCCCAGCAAATGCCCTATGCAATGAACAAACTACCCACCACACCAAAAGCATTAGAGTCTGTCCAGAAGCTTTTCCACTGGTCGCCTCTGGATTTAGTCCCTCAGGCACCCTTTACCGGAAGTTGGGGCTGGGGGAGATGATTCTATCGTCCTAGCTGCTTCATCCCAGATGCTGAACCAGAGTAAATGCCTGTGTGCAATTAGCCAAATCCTTTAGCCCACTAGTTTTCATGCTGCAGACAATCGCCCATGAGCAAAGAAGCCACAGGTATCAGCATCAAAGGCAGGAACCACACCGAGGCACGGAGATGAGTTTTGAGAGTGAAGAGAGGAGAGAGCAGTCTTGCACTTTACGGGCAGTGTTATTAAGTGTACAGAGCCCGTGGGTGCTGAGTGGAGGCAAGAAACGCAGCTCCCAATTCAACGGAGAGGTCCCAAGGGACAGGGACCATGCTCTTTCCCAATCACCAGCAGTGTGTTCCCAAGGGCAAGGTAGTTTCCATTTTCCCTCTATTCCTTTTAATAAGAGACCGAGATAGAGGTTGGGGGATGTGGCTCAGTGGTAAAGTATTTGGCTTGCATGTGTGAGGCCCTGGGTTCAATTCCTGCACCACACTGAGCACTGAGGCTGGAGTAGTCTCGAGCTAGTTAAAAGGGCCTTTTGGACATGAGGCTCCAACTTTGGCTTCTGGCTCCGCATGTCCTCCCTGAGCACAGGTGGGCTGGCATAGGTAACAGCCACCCCACAGGAGGGACTGAGCAGCCCGGCCTTGCAGAGCCCTAAGACACTAATACTGAACTCAGGAGGCCCAGGTCACGGGCCAAGAAGCACACAGAAGGGCTCCAGAGTCCCCAAGAACCAGGGTGAGGACACTCCAGTGCAAGTGAAAGATTGTCAGACTAATATTTACCTGGATCTTCCATCTTTACACTGTCTTGCTCTACAAGAATAAATCTGTTTGGAAAAAAAAATATGATCATGATTATCTCGGTGACTGATCTCTCTAAAACCTTATTAATTCCATTGACTTTGCTGTATCTACCCACTGATATCACTTTTTGAGAACAGGAATTCTCTCCTGTTTAATAGTCCCTGGACTCTCCTACAGCACATGACTGAAGGGGCACGTTAGGAATACAGCTTAGTGACTGTTTCAGAGAAATTCAGCACATTAATCCAAATAAAAAACTATGAGGTAGGTAATTAAAAGTATCTGCCAAAACCCAAACACAGAAACATCCTTTTTCACAACGTTTTCTAAACAATGTCAAGAACCAGTCTGATGCCTTTCCCATCACCACTCTGCATCCCCAGTGAGGAGACCTCATCAATGCAGCAAGCAGAGTCGAGTCTTACAGGAGACAAAACTTGGTTGCATTTGCAATGATTCTTCCCCAAATAAACCCAAAACAATAAAGGTCCTATGAGATATGTTATTCCTCGGGCTATAGATATCATACAGTGGGTGGGGCACTTGCATTGACCGTGGCTGACGCAGATTCGATCCCAGGACTCCAGATGGTTCCCTGAGCCCCACCTGGAGTGATGCCTGAGAGCAGAGCCAGGAATAAGCCCTGAGCACAGATGGCTGTTGCCCCAAATAAATAACTAAATCAATATGTCAACTCTTTGAGCGACTTAGACTGAAATTTCAATACCTGAAACATTTCTGTGCTTTTGTCCTTAAGGAGATAAAACAGAACAGTGCAATAAGGAGCACGGGCTGCTTTGCAGGTGACCCCCATGTTTGAAAGCGGGATGATAGGGCTGGGGAGGTAGCTCAGTGGGAGAACGCCTGCCTTGCATGCAGGAGACGTGGGGTCGGTACCCAGCACGACAAGAAGAGCAAAATTGGAGGGATCCTAATGCCGTCCTTAGAGGATTGCGAGGATTAAACCAGACAAAATATAGGAAACTCCTTGTACTGTGGTTGTCATAAATCAGAGCTGTGTTTGCTGATGACATCACAAAGGAGCGGCTTAAACATATCAAAGACTCAGAGAGCTCTTCCTCAGCACCATGGCTTCTAATTTATTCTAATTCTTTGTTGGTGGTTGTGGTGCTACCAGGGATTGAACCCAGGGCCTCACACCTGCAAGACAAGTGCAACACCACTAACCTATATCCCGAACCCCTTCCATCCCATGTTGCTGTTGTTCATTTTTTGAGGCTCTTCCTGCCAGCTGGTGCTTGCGGGGCCTACTTCTGGGGTGGTGCTCAGGGACCATGGAGCACTATGGCTAGAACCTGGGGTTCCCATGTGCAAAGTGAATTGAAGTTTGAGTCTTTGGACTTATCTCCCTGGCCCTTAAATCACTTTTTTTAATGTTCCTGCTGGGAAAAGTCAGTGGTGTGTCATTGAACAGAAGACAGATATAGGCAAGCTCCTGGAGTAACTACCGCACGCTGCCAGGCTTGAGAGTAGCCCAGCTCGGGCTCAGGCTGCAATGCGGGTGTGTTTGGTTTGGGAGCCACCCAGTAATAGGCAGGAACAACTTGATTTGCTGTTTAGGGGTAGCTCCTGGTGGCTCGGGGGGGGGGGGGGGACGGGGGAGGTCATGCATTGCCGAGGATGGAACCCAGGTCTCCCTCACGCAAAGCGTGAAAAGTAGCCCTCGGAGTTCTCTCCCCAGTCTTAGCTGCAGTGTTTTAACTTCATCCAGGGAGATGGTGCTTAAACCTAATGAGAGCTACTGCACTGGATCAGGTCCTAGGAGGGTGGAGATTCTACACTTTTGATCCTTCCAGTCAACAAGGAAAGTAATCAGTAGAAGAATGTCAGTGAGTGTTAAGTTAAACCACTGACATCCTTTTGATTTAAAAAGGGGGGGGGGGGGGGGGAAGTCGATATGGTGACCAGAAAGAGAGCTGAATGGTCAGAGTGCATGCTTTGCATGCAGAAGGGCCAGGCTGGATCCCTAGTTCTGCAAGGTCCCCTGAGCACCACCAGAAGTGACACCCTCTCTCCCCTCCACACTGAGCTGGGGGCAGGCCCTGAACATCCCAGGATGTAGTCCCCAAACAGCGCACAGGAAGACGACTTTTTGTTTCATCTCTAGCCTTCTTAACTTTTCAAAATTTTCGAAAAGCTTGTTATTTGGGTTCATTTCCACAGGGAACTCTTGGGAGTCAGTTCCCTTCAACAAACCCTGGGATTATCTTTGCAATATGAGAAGCAACCACACCTCATTACTCAAGACTGAAGAGGAAAATCAAGCATCAGTAGGAGGAAAAGGGGCTTTTATTTTCCATTTGTAGCCCCTGAATCTGTTATAAAGACAGATGAAATCCTGGAAGTCTGAATGAACTGTTCTTACCTCAATGAGACATAAAATTAAAACCAATAATATCACGACGACAGCCACATTTATTGCAACGACTGCTTTTTGATTGTGGTACACAACATATCCTGGAACTTTTATGAGCTGAAAAATAAAAATTATTTTCATGCATTACTTTTGTGGGGGCCACATTCAGTGATGATGAGGGGTTACTCTGGCTCTGCACTCGGAAATCACTCCTGGCGGACCAAAATGGACGCTGGGCATAGAATTCGGGTTGGTGGCATGCAAAGTAAGTGCTTTACCCACTGTACTATCGCTTCAATACCCAGGAACAATTAGACAGAAAGATGGGAAGGATTCTTAAGCCCGTTCTAAAGAATGGTTATCCTTCTACTAGTCTAAAACCCCATCCTCTGAAAGGAGTGGACTATAGGTTTTTATTTTGTATGTGGTTTTATTTTGGGGTGGTTTGTTTTTCAGCCCATATCCAGGGTCCTCAGAGCTACTTCTCGCTCAGTACTCATGGGGACTCTTTTTGAACTATCTCCTTGGCCCCAATATGTTCTTTTTTTCTTTTTTTTTCAAATGTAGGAGTACTGCTATTTATTCAGTCACTGATTAGCTGATTAAATTGGGCATGAACTAGGCCCCAATATGTTCTTAAAGAGCACACCAGATCTATTATGCCATCTTGTCTGTAGCCTTTCCTTCTACAATTTATTTATCTGGTGTGTTAGGTCCTCTTCTTACCTCTCCTAGGAACAGTGCTACCTTTCTACAAACGAGCACAGGGACAATCATTCTTGTAGTCAAAGTTGTGTGGCCACAAAAAAGAGAGCGAGCCAGCAGGAGAGGGAGAGTCAAGACACCCTGGTCTTCTTGCTTGTGTTCTTTCATGGCATGGCCTGAGAGCCCGGAAGCCCCTGAGCCTGGTCACTGTGAGATTCAGTTACAAAGCTTTCCTGATCGTGATCCAGGTTCAGTCAGACAATGCTCCAACACCCATCCCTCCACCAGTGTACATTACCCACCAACAAAATCCCCGCATTCCTCCTGCCACCTCCTCCCCGCCCCCAGCCTACCTCTGCCTTTATGGCAGGAACTTTTCTTCTCTCTCTCTCTCTCTCTCTCTCTCTTCCTCCCTTTCTCTTCCCACCCCCCCTCTTTCCCCCTTTCTTCCCTCCCCCCCCTCTCTTACTCTCTCCGCTCACTCCATGCCCCCCTTTTGGGCATTATGTTTTGCAGTGCAGATACTGAGGTCATCATGTTTGATCCTGTACCCACTTCAGCACACATCTCCCACCCAGAGCTATCCCTTCCAACTATCATTGTTACAGTGATCCCTTCTCTATCCCAGCTGCCTTCTCTGCCAGCCCTTGAGGCAGGCTTCCAACCGTGGACCATTCATCCTGGCCATTGTTTCTAACTGTCCTTGGGTGTTAATCTCATAGTAAGTTTTAATTATTTTTACGTCCCATAAATGAGTGCAATCATTCTATGTCTGTCCTTCTGACTTATTTCACTCTGCATGAGACTCCGTTAAAAAAACAAAAGTCTGTCCTCACCTCACTTGCCTCCGCCTGTTTCTGCTCACCCTGGCCTTCGGTATTCTCATTGATGTAGTTCTCAGCCTCCCACTGGTCCGTATCCCATTTTTCACTGGACACCTTTACGTCCTGCCGCTCACTAAGAAGCTTCATCAGGAGCCCGGTTTTGTGGACCACCTTGGCACACTCCAGTTGCACCCGGGGATCGGAGCAGTCCATTTTCAGAGTCCGAATTACTTGGGCAATGAACTTCCTCACATTACTGTTGGGAATAAGGGGCCGCAACTTCTGGATGAGCTGCATCTCAAGTTCGTCTCTGGGGTCGGGTTTCTGTGGGGGAGAGTCGATGTCGGTGGCCACCTTGTGATATTCCCACTGCATCTCGTTGGGCTGTCTGACAGCAGGCATGAGGCTGTCCTCCGTCCCCTCTTCCTCCTCAGGGGCAGTGCTTTGGATACCGGCAGTTTTCTCTGGCGGCACGATGCTTCTGGCATCCCCCCCGTTTGGAGCACGCGTGCTCTCCGCGGTCTTCTTTTCCCGGCTGGAGCGCAATGAAAGGAATGGCTCCGTGACAGGTTTGTCCTGGTGTCTCCAGGACAGAGACCCCCCCCTCGGCGGGGAGTTGACGAGGCTCTTCACTGCACCGAAAGGAGGCCTCCTGGCCAGCACCGGCCTCTGCGGTGCTGCTTCTTTTGTCGCTGTGTTCACTCTGGCCTGGGGTATTCTGCGGCCCAGCTGAGAGTAAAGTTTACGAAACAGGTAGTTCTTCCCGGTGAGTGGCCCGGGGCTAGGAACCTTCATGTTCCGAACTCGAGCGCCCGCATCCTCTAAGACGCGTAGAGTTCTTTTCAGGTCTTTGGATGGGATTTCGTCCTCCGGTGGCACTTGGAAAGCAGCGGCGGCAGACAGGCTGCCCATGGAGTGCTGTTCCAGGGGCACGGAGGCCGGCGCCCTGTGCTCCTGGATGAAGGATGACTCCTCGTTGAAGGAGCTTTCCACCAATTTCCTGGGCCTCCCTGCCAAGATAAAGTCTTTCGGTCTTTCCGGGGCCAGCTGCCCCTGCCGTCTTTCTTGGGCAATATTCCCCGCCGCGGACCAAGCCTTCCCTCGCCTCTGGCTGAGGGGAGTGCCCTCTTCTTTGAAGTGCCTCTTCTGCTGGCCCTGGGGATCCCTGAACATGCTGCTCCCTTGCAGTGGTTGCGTCTCCCACTCCTGAACATTTCCTAAGTGTTTTTTCTTTGGTGGCCCGACAGTTTCCAATATCTTCGGGAAAAGTTGGCGTTTAAATTTGGGCCCGAAAAGACTGGAACGGACCTGTGTGGCAATTTTCTCCTTCTTTCTAACTTTGTGGATTTTTTCTTGAATTTCTGTGTTGATCAGACTTTGGAGAACATGGATTTTTTTCACCTTATTGTAGATTTCACTGTTGGATTCGGGCTGTATAGAAATCCAAGCCGTGCTGGTTTTCGAAGGAGCCAGAGGATTTCCTCCATCTTGCACATCTTTAAAAAGAAACTTAATGAAGGATAACAATGTTGATTCTGCATCTATGTCCCCAACCTGTAACAAAGACATTATGGATTCTAGTCTAGTAAGCATATCACGCTGATGACTGTTGTCTAGGTGCTCGTGCTGGAAAAGGGACAGGCTGTTTCTCTCGGATGAGGCCTTCTCTGGTTCAATCGTCAGCTCGGTGCTGGTACTCTTCTTTCGGGCCAGTAAAGCCTTCATGAACTCCCCATCCATATTACTGATGTATTCTTCTTCATCTGCCAAAAAGGAAGAGCATGCTTTTGATCATGAAAGATAACTGGGGATAATTTTGGGAGCATCTACAGACATAAGTTCCAGCTAAGTAAACTAGTAATCAGTGAACAAGTGCCGTATGGTGTGTGTGTGTGGGGGGGGGGGCACAGGAAACCCTAAATTTACATCTGTGACTGGCAAAAACAGAAGGAGAAACAAAGTGATCATCGCTATTTATTCAGAATAAATAGGGCATGGAGTTCAGTACATGTATTTAGGATTATTCAACTGGGGGGCAGAGTGACAGTAGAGCAGATAAAGTCCTCGTCTTGTAGGCAGCCAACCTGGGTCTTATCCCCAGCACCCCATACGCTCCCTCAAGCCTTACCAGTTCTGACCCCAGAACACAAAGTTAGGAGTAAACTTTGAGCACTTCTGAGGATGCTGCCAAACAAGCAAACACACAAACGATAATCATACGATTATTCCACTGGTCCCCAAGGACCAAGTACCCAGTCTTCAGGACAAATATTTGCTGCTCAGTTAGATTCTTTACAGATCAACTATGATTTCTTTTCTTTTTTTTTAATTTTTATTAGTGAAACACCATGAGGTACCATTTTAGATTTACAAATTTTTGTGCTTGGGTTTCAGTTATACAATGATTGAGTACCCATCCCTCAACCAGTGCCCATTCTCCACCACCAATGATCCCAGTATACCTCCCAACTCCCCTCCCCTCCTCCCATCCCACCCGCCTCTGTGGCAGGGCATTCCCTTTGGTTCTCTCTCTCTCTTTTGGGGTGCTGTGGTTTGCAAAAGAGGAACTGAGTGGCAATCATGTTCGGTCTATAGTCCACTTTCAGCATGCATCTCCCATCCTGGGAGGATCCTCCCAACACTCTTGATTTGCTGCTCCCTTCTCTATCTGGGCTGCCTTTTCCCCTAGCATATGTGGCTGGCCTCCAAGCCATGGAGCAAACCTCCTGGTACTTATCTCAACTATTCTTGGGTGACGGTCTCCCATTTTGTTACTTTATATTTCACAGATGAATGCAATCTTTCTATGTCCCGCTCTTTCTGACTGATTTAACTTAGCATGATATTTTCGATGTAGTACCACTTATATGTAAATTTCATCACTTCATCTTTTCTAACAGCTGCATAGTACTCCATTGTGTAGATGTACCAAAGTTTCTTTAACCAGTCATCTGTTCTCGGGCACTCGGGTTTTTTCTAGATTTTGGCTACTGTGGGCTGGAGCAATAGCATAGTGGGTAGGGTGTTTGCCTTGCACGCGGCCCACCAGACTGACCTGGGTTCAATTCCTCTGACCCTCTTGGAGAGCCTGGCAAGCTACTGAGAATATCTCGGCTGCAGAGCAAAGCCTGGCAAGCTACCTGTGACGTATTCATATGCCAAACACAGTAACAACAAGTCTTACAACTGAGACGTTACTGGGCCTGCTCAAGCAAACTGATGAACAATGGGAGGACAGCGTTACAGTGCTACAGTGCTTGGCTACTGTGAACAGTGCAGCAATGAACATAGAAGTGCAGATGTCATTTGGACTGTAATTTTTTGCCTCTCCGGGATATATTCCCAGGAGTGGTATTCCTGGTGAAATATTGGTATGTTTCTATTGATATGATCATATGGTTTTTATCTTTACTTTTGTTGATATAATGGATTATGTTGATTGACGTCCAAATGCTAAACCATCCTTGCATCCCCGGGATGTATGCCACTTGGTCGTGGTGTATGATCTTTTTGATGAGTTGTTGGATTCTATTTGTGAATATTTTCTTGAGGATCTTCACATCCATGTTCATCAGAGATATTAGCCTGTAATTTTCTTTGTTAGTGGTGTCCTTGTTTGCTTTTGGTATTGGGGAGATAAGTGCCTCATAGAAGCTGTTTGTGAGAGTTCCTGTTTTTTTTTTCAATTTCATGGAAAAGCTTGCGGAGAACTGGCAAAAGGTCTTCTTTAAATATTGGGAAGAATTCGCTAGTGAATCCATCTGGGCCTGCGCTTTTGTTTTTGGGAAGACTTGATTTCGGTTTGATTTCCTTGATATGAATGGGTCTTTTCAGGCAATCCAAGTCTTCTTGGTTCAGTCTTGGCAGATTATAGGAATCCAGGAACATATCCATTTCTCTAGGTTATCTTGTTTCATGACATACAGACTCTCAAAGCAGCCTCTGACAATCTTTTGAATTACATTGGTTTCTGTTGCAATGTCCCCTTTTTCATTTCTGATTCGGTTTATTGGGGCTCTCTCTCTTTCATTGTGAGTCTTGCTAGTGGCTTATCAATCTTGTTTATTTTCTCAAAGAACCAGCTCTTGGTTTCACTAACCTTTTGGATTGTTTTTTGGGTTTCCATGTCTGATTTCTGCTCTAAGTTTTATTATTTCTTTCCTTCAGCGGGGCTTGAGTTCCTTTTTTTGGTTATTTTCTAAGATCGTGAGCTGTGAGGTCAGGTTATCTAAGAGGCCCTTTCTTCCTTCCTTAGGAATGCTTGCAAAGCTATACATTTTTCCTCTTAACACAGCTTTAGCTGCATTCCATAGGTTCTGATAGCTCGTGTCTTCATTCACATTTGTTTCCAGGTATCTTTTGATTTCGTCTTTGACTTCCTTCCTGACCCACTCGTTGTTCAACTTTGAGTTGTTTAATTTCCAGGTGTTTGATTTGTCTCTCCGTGTCTGCGTATGCTTCGTTCCTATCTTCAACACATCGTGGTCTGAAAAGATTGTTGATACTATTTCTATCTTGCGGATTCTATTGAGGTCGGTTTTGTGACCTTACATGTGGCCTTTCTATTTTGGACAATGTTATGTGTGCACTGGAAAAGAATGTGTATTCTTTCTTTTTGGGGTGTAAAGCCCTGTATAGGTCTATTAGCCCTCTCTCTACTATTTCTTCCTTCAAAGTCAATGTCTAGCATGCTGAGTTTTGTTCTTGTTGATCTATCCAGAGATGATAAGGCAATGTTGAAGTCTCTGACTACTATTGTGTTGCTAGCAATGTCCTCCTTGAAATCTGTTAGCAGTTGTTTTAAGCATTTAGCTGATCCCTCATTAGGTGTGTATGCATTTAAGAGTGTGATTTCTTCCTGTTACACATATCCCTTGATAAACAGAAAATGACCTTTGCTGTTCCTTCTAGTCTTTTTCAACCTGAAATTTATGTTGTCAGATATTAGTGTGGCTACCCCAGATTTTTTGAGGGAGGTGTTTGCTTGCAAGATTGTTTTCCATCCTTTAACTTTGAGTCTGTGTTTGCTCTGACCATTCAGATGACTTTCTTCTACGCAGCAGAATGTTGGGTTCAGTTTCCGCATTCAGTTTGCCACTGTGTCTCTTGATTGGTGCATTTAGACCATTGACATTGAGAGAGATTATTGTTAGAGGGTTTTGTGCCATCTTTCTGTAGGGACTTGTTGTGCTTGTAGGGTGTTTTCTTGTCTTATAGAAGCCCTCTTAGTGGTTCTTTCAAGTTTGGCTTTGTCTATGAAGTTCCTGAGCTGTTGTTTATCCATGAAATAGTGTATGATTCTTTCTGAGTTAGAATGAGAGTTTAGCTGAATAGAGTACTCTTGGTGAGGCGTTCATTTCATTGAGTTTTTTCACTATATCCCCCCATTGCCTTTGGGGTTGGAGGGTTTCCTCTGATAGGTCTGCTGTAAATGTACGGGGTGCTCCTTTGTATGTGACTTCCTTCTTCAGCCTTGCTGCTTGCAGGATCATGTCTCTATCCATATCATCCATCATTCTGACTCTGATGTGTCTTGGAGTCTTTTTATTAGGGTCTCTTTTACTTGGCACCCTTTGGGCTCCTTGGATCCGGATGCCTGCATTCTCCAGCTCTGGGAACTTTTCGGCAATGATATGTTTAACTGTGGCTTTTCCATTGGGGTTGCCTCCCTGTCCTTTTGGTACTCTGATGATTCTTACTTGCTCCTCTTGGATTCATCCCCTAGGACTCTGATTCACCCCAGGGCTATTTTGAGGTCTTTTCCCATGGTCTGTTGTTGTCTGTAAGCTTTCTGGTGCTCATCTTCAAGCTTACTGATTCTGTCCTCGGCTGTAGCCATTCTACTGGTGAGGGCACTCAATGAGTTTTTTATTTCATCTATCAAATCCTTTATTCATGACATTTGTTTGCAGCTTTTCTATTTCTGCTCTCATTTCTTCCGGTATTTTGTTGGCTGCCTGTTCCACTGTTTCATTCAAGTCCTCTTTTAATTTCCTGGATGTCTGTTCCACTGTTTCTTTGAGTTCATTGAACATCTTCAACATTTTGATTCTGAATTCCTTATTGGAGAGACTGTTTTTGTGAGTAGACCCTGTTGGGGGCCTCTGGACCTTTTTCTTCATCTTCCCCTCTTGGCGTGGTGGGGATCTGTGCTGTTTTTTCATGTTGTGGTGGTAGTATGAAGGTGGGAACCACAGTTCACTATGAGTTTTCCCTCTTGGTTAATTTGGGGATTCTGGGTGAGCTCGGTCTAGTGGTCGCCTTTTTCCCCTTCAGGAGTTGTGGCTTCCTCTCATGTTCTCCTCTGTGGCCTCTAGTGGAGCTTCGGGGGATGTAGTCCTCTACATTGGACTTGTATATGTCTATGGGTATTATGGTGCAACTGGGATGAGCTAGTGGATTATTGGCCTAATGTATTAGAGATGGCCGAGACATTCTCCCCCGAGTTACGTGATGGAGGTCAAGATATGAGTCCAAATTGCTAGGAAAGGGGAAAATAACTGCTGCCCTCAGAGTAGGCCATTCCCCCTATCCACGCCCCCTAGCTCAAAGGCCAGGCTCCCTGGCTCAGAGGCCACACCACCAGGACCAGGCTGCATGCTGGTTCCCTGGTTCGCTGGTTCAGCTGGGACCAGGGGAGCCAGAAACAGTAGCTGGGGGTTGGAAGGTGCTGTTTCTCTTTAACTCTTTGGTGTGCTAATCTTGTTACTGTCATAGGTTACTGTCACAGACAACGAAGAAATTCCTCCAGAAATCAGATCCTCTTCTGAATGCACCCATCCTCCACCTACCAACTAATCACGATCACGATCACGACCATCCTGTTGTTCATCGATTGCCTTGAGCAGGCTCCAGTAACGTCTCCTTCATCCTAGCCCTGAGATTTTTTAAAAGTGCCATATTAAAGGCTCTTTCAGGGTTAGGAGAATGAGCCCCATCATTGTTACTGGTATTGGGCATATTGGGTACACCACGGGGAGTTTGCCAGACTCTGCCCTGTGGGCAGGTTACATCTGGTAGCCTACCATTTTGTCCAAAGTTAGAATGAGATAATAAGGTGTTGTGCAGCCGCAAATGTGGCTGCGCACTTCTGGGATCTAGGTTTTATAGTCTCTGGGTCTTGGCTGCTGATGGGATTACATGGCGCCAGGGGGCCAGTTGGTGGGTGTGACCCCTGCCTACTGGAATATGGAGGATCTGGGTGGAGGATGCTCAGCCCCGATTGAGCAGGCTTGGAGATCTCAGCCCCGGGACCCGTATGCCTTTGTTCCTCTGCTGGTACCTTCATGCGTGCAGAGAGCGGTCTCAGCACGGTGGTGGCTGGTTCTGGAGGTCTTTGGCTGCCAGAGCCCTGGTCGGGACGGGGAGGGAAACTCAACCCACTCCCCTCTAGGGGCCCTGGCGAGGACAGCCAGGCGCGGGGGCAGGAGACTCTGCGCTGTTCTCTTCCGGGATCTGGGTTTTATAGTCTCTGGGTCTTGGCCGCTGATGGGATTACACGGCGCCAGGGGGCCAGTTGGTGGGTGTGACTTCTACCTACTGGAATATGGAGGATATGGGTGGAGGATGCTCAGCCCCTATCCGAGCAGACTTGGAGATCTCAGCCCCGGGACCCGCATGCCTTTGTTCCTCTGCCCGGTACCTTCATGCGTGCCAACTAATACTTTTACCAACTAATACTTTTGTTTATTAGCCCTCAGTTTCATATTGCTGAATCTGGACAGATGTCTAAGTATAGGTTAATGGATTTGCCAGAGTATATGTCAATGTGCAATGTTGAGAAAATCTATAAAATAATTTGTTTTGTTTTGTTTGGGGGCCACACTTGGTGATGCTCAGGGGTTACTCCTGGTTCACTGCTCAAAAAATCACTCCTGTTGGTGCTTGGGAAACTGTATAGTATGTCGGCAATGGAATTCAGGTCATTTGTGTGCAAGGCAAGTCCCCTACCCACTATACTATCTCCCTACCCGCTGTCCTATCTCTCTGGCCCCTGAAATAACATTGGAGATCCCAAAATTGGGGAAAACAACTCTTATTAGATGTGTATTTGCCTTCACTTACTTCCTAATACTTCCAGCTCTACCTAGGGAACCATACAAAGTTTCTGACTTCTTGAAGGTCAAGTGTAAAATTGTGCAGTTGGGTTTCTTTTGGTGTGGGGGGCGGTGGGGCCAAACCCAGCAATGCTCAGGGGTTACTCCGGTCTCTGTGCTCAGGGATCACTCCTGGTAGTAATTTGGGATCATCTGAGATGCTAGGGATCCAACCCACGTCTGCCATATGCAAGGCAAGTGCTAGACTATCTTTCCAACCAAACATTACTGAGAATTAAAAGTTCTTTTGGTGGTGGTGAAATTTAGAGGGGGAGTTAAGGGATGTGAGGAAGAAGCATGGACTTGCAGGGAGTCCCAGACTGGGAACACAAGATCTAGGCATTAGGCACATTTAACACTTTTTGTTTTTCTATTATTCACTTAAAAATGCTATTAGTATTTTTATTCTGAATTTAGATTATTTGGTTTAGTTATTCTTTGTGGCTGGAGCAATAGCACAGCGTGTAGGACGTTTGCCTTGCATGCAGCCAACATGGCCGACCTGAGTTGGATCCCTCCGCCTCTCTCGAAGAGCCCAGCAAGCTACCAAGAGTATTTCGCCCACACAGCAAAGCCTGGCAAGCTACCCATGACATATTCGATATGCCAAACACAGTAACAAGTTTCACAATGTTACTGGGCCCACTCGAGCAAATTGATGAACAGCGGCAGGACAGTGATCAGTGATCAGTTATTCTTTAAATAACATTATTAAAGTTGAAGTAACATGATTACAAAATATGAATGCTATTGGTTTCCATGTACAAAGTGAACTTTACCTGGACCACCGCCGAAGTGCTGAGACACCACAGTTCGTACATCCCCTCTAATCTGACTCTTTCCCCGCCCCTCCCCCAACAAATCCCCAGGTTTGATGTTCATGTTATGAAAGGTGATTCGTAAATCTTGTTATGCCCATCTCTGAGAAGAGAGTAATAGACATGTTAAAAGTTGATTTTAAAAATAACATCTTTGTGTAAGAAGCAATGTAATCTGATGTGCCGAACTGCTGATAGCGAAGCAGATTCATAATATCCCGGCATGAAAATACGTTTTATGGGTGGTGTATGTGTGTGTGTGTGTGTTGTGTGTGTGTGTGTTGTGTGTGCGCATGTGCTCATGCATTCGCCATACAGCAGTGCCCAAGGAATACTCCCAGCAGTTCTTCGAAAATTATTTTATGGGGGGATTGAACCCACACCTCCCACATGAAAAGCATGTGTTGCAACCTATTGATCTATTTTCCTGGGCCCCTAAAAGGACATTGCGGAAGTTATCAAGTAAACTTACTATGTGGAAATATATAAGGGCACCTGAGTGCTTTGTGGATTTGAAGGGTTAAAATTCAAAGTAGGTTTGGAGGTGGGGATGCTCTAAGAATCCATCGTTAGAAGGACTGAGTGGCAGCCTATGCTTAGAAAACCAGAATTTCTCAGGCTCTAAGCAAAACGTTCATAAGATAGTATGACTTGTACTTGCCTATAAAATTATAAAAACACATGCAATAAGGTAGCTACACCAGTCCTATAAAGAAAAGGGCAACTGATATTTCTTGTGTATAAAATCTGTTTGCAAACTGCATTGTGTGGCTGAGCTCTCATCTGGAGGACCAACACCTTGCCCAGAGTGTGGCACTCAGTTGTGACCATGAATGATAGCTCCCTTTCCCACTTCCATCCCTTTCTTCCATTCCTCTTAAACCTTCAGGTCATTCATATACTGCGAAGGTAATGATGTGGCTGAGATTCTGACTTTTGCCAAGGGAAATAGCTCATGGAAATATAGGGAGTTGAACTCTGAATAAAAATAATGCACTCCATAATCAGCTTCAAATGTACCATCAGTGATTAAAATAAAAATGAAACATAAATTAAAAACCTATCAGCAGGCAATCCAACTCACCACAGTGTGTGCTGATAAGACATTCACTGTCACAACGTAGTTTGACTGTCTTGTAGACAACGTCAATATTATTTTTAAATTGGCAGAGGCAGCAGGTTAGATGGTTAGGTAAGATCCTATGAATGGAAACACAGAGAATTAAGTGCAGAGTCAAGAGGTTACTTTAAATAGGTAGAAGAGGCAGTCAAGGCCACTGAGCAGCTATTGAAAAAGTTCCTGAGAAACATGGATGAGGTGTTGCTCAAACTCTGAGGTGGTGGGAACCCAACTGGGAGGTGATGCATGCAAAGCGTGTACTATTGCTCCAGCCCTCAGAAAACTGAGTTTTGTTTTTTGGTCATATCTGGTGGTGCTCAGGGGTTGCTCTGGGCTCTTGGCTCAGGGATCATTCCTAGCAGGCTCGGGAAACCATAGGCAGTGCGAGAGGCTGAATGTGGGTTAGCCACATGCAAATCAAATACCTAACTCACTATCCTATCTCTTCAGCTCCCAGATAACAATAAAAAAACATCAGTTACAACCTGGGGTGTTATTTCTCTATGGAGTGATCAGTCGGGGGCACAGAGATAAGCAACATTCATGGAATGAGGTAGCGTGGAGGGCCAAGAGTTCTCTCAGACAAATGGCATTAATCAAACCCAGCAACCTTCTTTTATTGTAATACAGTACACTAGGGGATGCATCACCAAATCCATGTGGACAAAAGGCTATTGATCTTGCTCTGTCGATGATTAACCTCCCATCCCCATATTTCAATCATCTACATTTCCGTCTAGACAGGATGTCCCCTCTAACTTTGCCTAAACAAAGCATAGCGTAATCAATCAGTGTCAAGGAGTAGCTGCATCATGACATGCTGACCCCTGCCCAGTTCAATCAGAGTTCCAAGCTGCTTCCAGCATGACACTGAAAGCAAGGCAGTGTCTGTAGGAACTTCCTCATGACTCTGGTCGGGCTCCAACGTCTCCCCCTTTTTGTTTTGCAGCCAGCTTAGCCTTCATGACGACATGTGCAGCGTGTTGTTATTGGGCTATTCTGTTTTGTTTTCTGAATTTTTGGCAGGCTATGTAAAAAAGAAACAACAGAACAATAAGTACAGACATACTAATAAAGCCCATCACAAGGACTAGAATATACTTCTTAGGATTTAGTTGAGTGATCCCATCCAACAATCCACCCCCAATGGTATCAGGTCCCCAGACTTGCAAGTGGGCCTGAAATACACAGTGAATGTTAGTTTGCAACTCTATAATTTTGTCGGTCATATTTTTGATGGTTTAACAAATACTTTTTAACCTTTTCCCATGGAGATTCAGACTCATAATAAGGTACAGGAGTTATACAAATGCAGAAGTATTCCAATCACATTTTAGAGTGTGTTGTCTTCTTAAACTCGGTAGCTGGTCACCGAGTAGGGTAACAGTTCGTGTAACATCGGACAATTCCTCTTGTAATCCTGCATCAACTTGTCACTGGGTTGTCCACAGTTTCTGAGAGTCCTGATGCCCTTTCTTTCTTTCTTTCTTTCTTTCTTTCTTTCTTTCTTTCTTTCTTTCTTCTTCTTTTTGCTTTTTGGGTCACACCTGGAGATGCACAGGGGTTACTCCTGGCTCTGCACTCAGAAATTACTCCTGGCAGTGCTCAGGGGAACATATGGGATGCTAGGAATCGAACCAGGGTCAGCCACATGCAAGGAAAATGCCCTACCTGCTGTGCTATCGCTCCAGCCCCCTCGTGCCATTTCTTAACAAACTCAGCAGTCTGAGATCCTTGCCTCAATGCAATATGAGCCGTTGCTGCTGTAGCAGTGATGGCAACGAGTCCCATGATAATGGCAATTACGAGTCCTACAAACCTCTTTGTGTGTGGCGCCAGGGGAGTGACCAGCCGGCGAAGAATGTTGGTAGCTGGACTGTCTTCCCACAAGCGGTTAAGCCACACAGGCATCTAGACCCCCATGGAAGCTCTAAGAAGATAGATGCTTTCTTCTGCTGTGAGACTCATAGTGTTATTAATACAAGTGAACATAGAGCAGTCACTGCAAGATATTACCTCTGCTACTTTATCCCAGCTAATTCTCCCTTTCAGCATGGCATATGGCAGTGGAACACAAGCCTGTATATAGCGGGTAAGATTTCTATCAAAATGTAAAGTACGTTTTGTTCCGACATTGTTATGTTGGATAAAACTGTCCGGGCTGTCATGTATCCAAAAGAATTCCCTATTTTCCATAGATGATTTTGTTTCTTATGCCCAGGAAGGAAGGGTGTAGGAGGCGGAAAGCTACCTCCGCACCCCATTATGCCAATATTCACTGTATCACTGTCATCCCCTTGTTCATCGGTTTAATCAAGTGGGCACCAGTAACATCTCCATTCGTCCCAGCCCTGAGATTTTAGCAGCCTCTCCTTACTCATCTTTCCCAACATATTGGAGGCTCTTTCTGGGTCAGGGGAATGAGACCCTTTATTGCTACACTTTTGGCATATCGAATATGTCATGGCTTGCTTGCCAGGCTCTGATGTACAGGTGGACTCTTGGTAGCTTGCTGTGCTCTCCAAGAGGTATCTATCTTATCTATCTATCTATCTATCTATCTAGATAGGTAAGTTGTTGCTTTCTGTCTGAACCCCATCAAATCTGGTGTGGCAATTATGGAGAATGGGTAGGAAGTGTCTTGTGATATGTCGCAGCCGTGTGGTCCAGGAATATGTTCACTCATGTGAGGCTCGGCCCAAGCAAGTAGGGAGCGGCCTGGAGCGTGGCTGCGGTTGGGTTGTGGAGGTCAGTTGCTGGGGCTGGGTCCCTTGGGGCGGGGAGGGCTCTCACTCGTCCCCCTCTGGGGCATCCTGCATGAAAAAAGCCTGGTGCAGAGTCTGGTTCATGGTTATGGGGTCCTCATTTTATGCTCCCTTCTGGAGGGTGGCCGATGAGAAGATTATCTGGCACAAGCAGGGTGTGGCTTATCGGTGTGACCCGTGGGTCACCGGAGACTGGAGGAAGCGGGCAGAGGATCTCTGCTCCTGGCTACCGTTTAAGCCCGGAGTCCAAGGTCATAAAGTTCTGCATTACCTGGGTTCCGTAGGACTTCACTCATCCGTGAGGCTCAGCCCGAGCATATGGAAAGTGGCCTGAGCATGGCAGCAGTTGGGTAGTGGAGGTCACTGCTGGGGCTGGGTCCGTTGGGGTGCCCCAAGTGAAAACAGCCTGGCACGGAGTCCAGTGGCATGGTTATGGGGGCCTCATTTTATGCTCCCTTCTGGAGGAACAGCTATGAGGTCTGGAGGGTAGCCTATGACGAGGTTATCTGGCGCTGGCAGGGTGTGGCTTATGGCTTATGCTAATATTAGAGTTAATTATAATTTGGGACACTTCGGAGCCTTGTATTGCTCCCCAATTCAGAATATTCTTTAGCTCCTTTTGCCCAGGCTGAGCCTACTGGACTCCAATCAATAGTTTTTCCATAAGAGGAATCAATCTAGATTCTAGCTTTTTCTCCTTTACATCGTTTCCAATATATCCAGTTTTCTAATTCAATAACTTTAGGGAGTTCACATAGGAGGCAGAGAGTTCACATAGGAGGCAGAGAGTTCACATAGGAGGTAGAGTATCATAACTTTCACTTCCAGTATCCAGAAATCCATTTGCTGCGAGCAATAACAATGGCTTTTTTTTTTAAGCAATGGCTTTTTATCAGATTCAGTAGAATTGTGATATTCAGCCATTCAGTACTGCGTGTGTGTTTTTAAGCAATGACTCCCGTTGCTAGTGCAGATAGGCATCCCTTCCACCCTGATAACATATTCAGGAAAATTTGTGCCTTCTTCTTTGGGTTTGATTAGGTCTCTACCATCAGCCTGGCACCAAGTCTGGTGGCACGGCTATGGGGTCCTCATGTTATGTTCCCTTCTGGGAGAAGTAGCCCTGTGATCTGGATGCTGGCTGATGACGAGATTATCTAGCGCTGGCAGGAGGTGGCTTCTGGGAGTGACCCCTGTGTCACTGAAGACTGGGGGAAACAGGCAGAGGATCTCTGCTCCTGGGTCCTGTTGAGCCCAGAATCCAAGTTCACAAAGTTCCACATTACCTGAGTTCCTTGGGACTTCACTCATGCGTGAGACTCAGCCCGAGTGAGAGGGGAGTGGCCAGAAGCATGGTGGTGGTTGGGTTGTGGAGGTCGACTGCCGGGCTGGGTCCCACAGGAGTAGGGGGCGGAATGAGAGAGACAGGCCCATCCCCTATCCCTGGAGGCCTGGAGTTTGCTGTCACTGAAACTGCATACCTGCACTTCTCATTGGGTTCTGGATGTTGGTGGCCCCTGGGATTTTTAGGGGGCAGGTGGGACTCTGGAGGTCATGCCCACAAACTGCCTCTGGCTGCTACTTAAGCTCCTTAATGGTCATGATCCAGAGATACACAAAAGAATTTCTGAACTGAGCAGCTCTCTGCCTTCTCCCCATCCTAATTATCTAAAACTTTAGAATTCCAGGAACACACAGCCACTTTTGTGGCCGAATGGCATTGTACTATTCATAACAAGCAATACAAAAGAGAGTATGAGGGAAATTGTCTGCCATAGAGGCAGGGGGAGGGGTGGGACGGGGGCGGGTATACTGGGGACATTGGTGGTGGAAGATGTGCACTGGTGGAGGGTTGGGTGTCCTATCATTGTATGACTGAAACTCAAACAGGGAAGCTTTGTAACTGTATCTCACGGATTCAATGATTTAAAAAAATAATAAATAAAATTACCATTCTGAAAATAAAGTAATGTGGAGTTCATGCCAAATTCAATTAGCTGAATCAATGGCTGAATAAATACCAGTACCCCTACAAAAAGAGGGAGAGAGAGAGACTGAGAGAGAGAAGAGAGAGAGAGAGAGAGAGAGAGAAAGAAATAAACAAGCCTTAAAAAAATTAAGTGAAATAAATGTCAGAAAATCAACTTACAGCTTTTCTAATTTAAGATTCATCATGAGGATGTTTTGAACTGCTGCAAGTGGCACTTGTGTTGCTCCCATGTCTCTGAGGGAGAAAGCACAAGCATGATGTGAATCCAAATACAGAAGCTCTAGAGTTAAATAGATGAGATAAATGAAGTGATAACTTTGATTCTGGCTTTGCTGTAAATCCAGGTCAACTGTTTGCTGTAGACTATAATTCCAGAGAGCTCTTGCTGATAAAAGCCTTTTCTATCATCAAATTAATGACACTTTGGAGAATAAAAAAATTTCCTTCCTTCCTTCCTTCCTCCCTCCCTCCTTCCTTCCTTCTCCCTCCCTCCCTCCCTCCTTCCTTTTTCCCTCCCTCTCTCCTCTCCTTCCCTCCCTCCTTCCCTCCCTCCTTCCTTCCTTCCTTCCTTCCTTCCTTCCTTCCTTCCTTCCTTCCTTCCTTCCTTCCTTCCTTCCTTGTCCGACTTCTAAATTGCATCTACTCCTTTCAATGATTCTTTTTCATGTGAGCTGCGGGTGGCCTTGGATTTTGGCCACATCTGATAGTACATGGGGGATATGTTGGGCACTGTACTTGTGGGTTACTCTGAGTAGAGTTCTGGGGAACACATAAGGGGTCAGAGGTTGAATCCAGGCCTCCAAGCAAGCAGTGCATGGGCTCCAACCACTCACCTATCTGGTCCTCTTTTCTTTACTTTCTTTTTTCAATAATGTGTCCATTATTACTTGTTACTTTCTGAATAAATAATACTTCTACACGCATCTGTATGTTTCTTATCTATATGTACTCAACATAGCTCTTTTCCTCTGTTGGCTGTTGCCCATGTCATTCTTTCTTAATCTTTTCCTTTGAGAATAACTGTCATTTCAATAATCCAGTGTTAAAATTAAAATTATAACTTTTAAATTCAATGCAAAACACTCTATCTTTGACAAAAGTGGAGAAAAATAAAGACAGCAAATCATAGCAGAAACCATATAAGCTACAAACTTATTACAATACTTACAGATATTTTAATGCTGGCAATTTAAAAAGATAAAAATCTTCAATAGTTGTTAGGGGATTATGGCTGAGAATTCTAAAAAAAGAATTAAAATTATATGCATAATCAGTATGTAGCATTAAAATTTATATTTAATTTATTGGCATGAAAAGGTAAAGGTAAAGGTAAAGGCCCTCCCGTTGATCGTCGATTTGCTCGAGCGGGCCCAGTAACGTCTCCATTGGAGACTTTGTTGTTACTGTGTCTGGCATATCGAATACTCTCGGTAGCTTGCCGGGCTCTCCGAGAGGGGCAGAGGAATCGAACTCGGGTCGGCCATGTTGGTCGCTTGTAAGGTGAACGCCCTACCCACTGTGCTATCGCTCCAGCCATTGGCATGAAATTTGAAGGTGAAAAAACATTATTTTCTGTGATTATTTATAATCACGCTTAGAATCCATAAAGCATTCTTTTTTTTTTCTTTTTGGGTCACACCTGGCGATGCACAGGGGTTACTCGTGGCTCATGCGCTTAGGAATTACCCCTGCTGGTGTTCGGGGGGAACATATGGAATGCTGGGAATTTAACCCGTGTCAGCCGCGTGCAAGGCAAACACCCTACCGGCTGTGGTATTGCTCCAGCCCCAAGCATTCTCCCTTTGAGAAACACCCAAGTCTCTAGATGACAAAGTGAAGGGGAACCGGGGGGGGGGGGGGGGAGAAAATAAATGTAGAGCAAAGAAAAAATATGCTGACAAATTTTTCCAAGTTGAAAACTCTAGGAATAGGGACCAAATAGAACAGCAAGTGGGGCACTTGCCTTGCATGCAGCCCACTTGTGTTTCATTCCTGGAACCTTACACAGGCCCTGGAACACACCAGGAGTGATCCCTGAACACAGCGTCAGGAGTAAGCGCTGGGCACCACTGGGCATGTCTCCCCATCAACCCCAAAGAAGAAATAAAAACCTAGGAGTGATGATGTCTGCAGAAGTCCTTGCTCTGCAGCAAATATTATTTCTAATGGATGCCTCTACAATTCAAAATGTTTCTTACACCCTGAGAAATTCAAACTACTTCATGACAACACACCCAGCTAAAGATTAAAATAGGGTCAATCCTTGGTTTTGGACAAAGAAGACATGGTCAATGGAAGAGGAGCTGTTAGAAGCTGTCTTCTTACCAGTCATTCCCACAGAGATCTTTGTGCCCAGACCTTTGTCACGCTGTATGTGATCACGGACTCACCTGTCAGTCTCCTGGACTTTCAGCTTCTTGAATGCCAGGGTCACCTGACTGTCACTGGTCTGACAATATCGGGTATTTACTAGATACTTCAGAAATAACATTATGGATATATTGGTCAAATGAACCAGTTCCTGCCCTCCCTCCCTCAGTTCCTCTCTCTTTTCTTTCTTTCTTTGGTTTGTGGGTCACACCCAGGAATGCTCAGGGATTACTCCTGGTGGTGCTTAGGGGACCATATGGAATGCCAGGCATCGAACCTTGGTCAGCCGCCTGCAAAGCACGCACCTTTCCTGCTATATTATCACTCCAGTACCAGAAGCAGTTCATTTTTGACAAAAGATTTTGTTCCAAGATGCTAGAATGAATTTTCTTCTTTTAAAAACATGCAAACTCTTTAAAACAAGCAAAGAAATACACAGGAGGGAAAAAAAAACGGAAAGAAATTTTCAGTAAACTCTATTCAAGAAACATTGGCATACCCTTGCAGGATAGATAGATAGATACATAGATAGATAGATATAGATACAGATATATATATATATATATATATATATATATATATATATATATATACGCCACGCTCCAGGCTGCTTTCCAGATGCTCAGGCCAAGCCTCACGCATGAGTGTAGCCCCACAGAACCAGGTGAGGTGGGACTTTGTGACCTTGGACTCCAGACTCAATGGGGCCCGGAAACAGAGATCCTCTGCCTGCTTCCCCCAATCTCTGGAGACCCAGGGATCATGCCCATAATACCCACCCTGCAGGTGCCAGATAAATACCTCATCTGCTGACCTCCACTACGCAGCTGCCCCCATGCTGCAGGCCGCTTTCTGGACAGTGTGGCCACAAAGCGGCATGCAACACAGCATAAGACACTTAATACCCATTTTCCAAAATTACTGCACCACATTTGATGGGGTTCAAATATGGTGTGAACTATGGGAATGCCTGTAACGGTGATTAGAGGCCTCCCTAAAAGCCTCCATCCCTCTCAGAGAGCCTGGCAAGCTACAGAGAGTATCCCGCCCACACGGCAGAGCCTGGCAAGCTCCTGCCGACCTCGCACGTGAGTGTAGCCTCACAGAAGCAGGTGAGGTGGGACTTTGTGACCTTGGACTCCAGGCACGTACCCGTGGCATATTTGATATGCCAAAAACAGTAAAAACAATGGGCCTCATTGCCCTGACCTGAAAGAGCCCCCAATACGGCAGTGTTAATAAGGATAAACAAAGAGAGGCTGATAAAATCTCAGGGCCGAACTAGGCTGCCAAAACGAAGGACTAAAATGACTTTACTTTCAACGAACGTACGCTAGCATCCGAAGCACCCATCAAGGACCTGATGGTGCAATCGCAGATTAAGTATGACATCATTGGTCTGACCGAGATGAGAAGGCATCGATCACATCATGCCATTTACAACACTGGAGAAGAACTGTTCCTCGGAACATGTGACAATAGAGGCATCGGTGGTGTTGGTGTCCTGGTCAACATGAACTTGGCCATGAGCATTGATTCATATGAATGCCTAACAACCCAAATCAGACGATTATGCTTGAATAGATGTGGCTCACTGCTGGCAGTTTCCATCTTCATCGTCTATGCACCAGCATCCAACTACGATGAAGAAGGTATTGAGAAGTTCTACATGGAGCTGGGGAAGTTCTATAAAGAAGACCACACCTCCTACAAGATCATTGTAGGTTATTTTAATGCCAAGATAGGACTGAGAAGGTTGCCCAAAGAACTCCACATCGGGACCAATGGCCTAGAATGGAACGAACAGGGTGAGAGACGGTCTGAGTTCATCATGTTGACCAAGACCATACATGGTAACTCACAGTTCCAGAAGGCCAAATTCTAAACATTGGACATGGGAGTCTCCTGGTGGACAGTTCCACAGTGAAATTGACTACATCATTTTCAATGGACTGTTTTGCCTGACTGATGATGCTGTTGTCCCAAAATTCCAAAACGGATCGGACAACCATCTCCTTCATGCAAAATTCTACTTTATGGAGCAAGGAGAAGGGACTGCAAAGTTTAAGAAGAGAACTTCCAGAATGACCACCAAACGGGAGCTCTTTGGCACTATTGAGGCAACGTAGGAAGATGCCGTCGCTGACATCAACGAGGAATCCAATTGACTGGTTCAGCACCTCCATGACTGCTCAAGGAATGCCAAGAGTGGGAAAGTCACAAACAGATGCCTGTCTTAGGAAACTCTTGAGCTCATTTGCCAACGTGGTTTGCAGCAAGCCTCTGGCAATCACAAGCTAATGTCCGAGCTCGCAAAGCTGTGCAGAAAAGCGATAAAGGAAGACCTCAAAGAGAGAAGAGCAATAGTGTTGTCTGATGCGGCAGAAGCTGGGAAAAATATTCGCAACACCTGCCTGTCCTTCGCCAACTATAAGTAAGACCAAGATGACTGCCCTCCGATGTCCTGATTGATCTATCACATCTTCCAGAAGGGAAATGGAGAAGATTGTTCACAACTTCTACTTGGATCACTTCAACAGCCATGTCCAAGTGCCCACATACCAAATTCCACAGGATGGATATGTCGTTCCCAACGTCCTCCTTTCCGAAATCCGACACACCATTTTGTTGGTAAAGAAGTGTACAGAACCTGGCCCAGACAAGGTCAGACCCAAACACCTGAAGAATCTGACACCAGTACTGGTCAATACACTGGCTTGGCTCTTCACACTCTACCTATCTGGATGCAAGGTTCCTTCCCAATGGAAAACCAGCAGGACCATTCCGTTGTACAAGAAGGGAGACATCCACGACATTGGCAACTATCGCCTGATCTGCCTATTGTCCGCCATCTACAAGCTGTCATCCTGAATAGGATTGGCAGAACACTAGATGGACAACCATGCGTGCAAGCCGAGTTCCGAAAGAGATTCAGCATGATCGACCATATCCACACTACGCTCACTGAGATTTTGCAAGAGTTTAAGATGCCAAAGATGCCACTCTGCCTAACGTTCATCGATTTAAAAAAGGCCTTTTATTCTGTTGAGACTGACGTGGTCATCGAAGCCCTAGCCCAACAGGGCAGTCAAACTCAGTACATCAGGATCCTCTGTGGCTGTATTACGGATTCACCACTAGGATCTCACCATTCTACAAGAAAGTGATCATCGATGTTAAGAGAGGGGTTTGGCAGAGCGATACCATTTCACTGACACTCTTCAGTGCCACCCTCAAGAACGTCATGTGATGACTGGAATGGGAAGGAATGGGAGTAAAGATATACAGTCAGCAACTGCACCACCTCTGCTTCGCTGATGACATCGTTCTAATAACAGCAAACATTAACCAAGCATCACAACTGCTGGACGACTTTGACCGTGAGCATGAAAAGGTCAGACTGCAGCTGAACCTCACAAAGACAATGTTCATGAAAAATGGACTAGTTCCTGGCAGTTATGTATACCTAGGTCGAGAACATAACAAGACGAACAACCTGGCACCTGAGCTGCACAGGAGGAATAGAGCGGTGTGGAACACCTTCAAGAACGTTGAAGAAATAGCTAAGAGGACTAAGAACATCTGGCTCCATGGACATTTCTTCGACTCCACCGTTCTTCCTACACTAACATACACCTCAGAGACCTGGGACCTACGAAAACAGGATGAGAACGCTATTTGGGTCTCCCAAAGAGGAATCAAAAGAGCTATGCTTGGAGTATCACGCTTCACTCAAGTGAGAGAAGGAATCTGGAGATCCGACTTCCGTCAATGATCGAGAATCAGGGACACTGTCTCATTTGCCAAGGCGTCAAAAATCAGATGGGCAGGACACATAATGCGATTTGAAGATGACTGCTGGACCAGAGC